ACTTTGGTGAAGGCTGCAGAAATTGAAGGAGGAAGAATTTTTAAATAAACTTTGGGTTTCTTTTTGTGTTTCAGGTTGGCTCTATATATTGATTCCTGATTATCAAACATTTGGGCAGTTATCTTTTCCTCTGCTTCTGAAAAAAAATTGATTCAAAATGGAAATGAAAAACCAACATGATAGTTGGGCCAAAGCTATGAAGATATGTCTCTTTGTTTAAAGTGTCAGATATTAATGTCTGACAAATATGTATTTTACAAATATTAGTGCTTGTCTTTTTGAAAGATAATTCTGTAAAAAAAATGTTTCTCTGGAAATAAATAAAAAGCATAAAGAAATAACTAAGGACATTTTTTTTCTTTTTGTCTCCGTATATTTTACTGGTGCATTATTGTTGTACATGATGATGAGATTTGTTGTATATATATTCATATATGCATATAATATAACAATGTAATTTGGCCAATATCATTTCCCAGTGTTTCTTCTCTCCCTAGCCTCTACCTCCCCCTGGTTCCTCTCCTCTATTCAACTGATCTCCCTTTGATTTTCATGGGACTCCTCCCCTGACACACACCTTTCTTTTCCTTTTTTCTCTCTGGCTTCTGCATATGAGAGAAAGTCCCCTGACTTCCCAAGTTTGGCTTATTTTGCTTAACATAATGTTCTCAAATTCTATCCATTTTTTTTCTGCAAATTGTGTAATTTCATTTTTTTATGGTTTAGTAAAACTCCATTGTATATGTATACATTTTCTTTATCTGTTTACCCATTGATAGACATGCAGGCTGGGTCCATAGTTTAGATTTTGTGAATTGTGGTGCTCTAAACATGGGGATGCATGTATCACTATAGTATGATGATGATTTTAATTCTTTAGAATAAATACCAAGGAGTGTTATAGCTGGGACATATGGTGGTCCCAGGCCTAGTATTTTGAAGAAACTCCATACTGATTTCCATAATGGTTGTACTAATATACAATCTCACCAACAGTGTAACCATGGGAACATTGTTTCTTGACAAACATTTGCCAGTAGTATATGAACAAAGAGCAAAATCTGTTGCCACCACAGACTTTGGAGTCCAACTCTACAGTCATTTCTTGGTACCCATGGGAGCTTGGTTCCAGAATTTCCTCACGTACCAAAACCAACAGATATGCAAGTTCCTTATAAAAATAATGTATAAAAAATATCATAGGGTTTGAATGTAACCTATATAAATCCTACTGTATATCTTAAATTGTCTCTAGGTTACTTATAATAACTAATACAATGTAAATGATATGTATATAGTTGTATTGTTTAGGGAATAAAGACAAGTAAAAAAGTCTTCACATATTCAGTACAGATGTAATTATTTTTTTCAATTATATTCAATCTGCAATTGATTGGTTCTGGAGATATGGAGGGTCAACTCTATTGCACCAGGGTCTGGTGTCTTTGCTGCATTAGAACTTAAAGAAATTTGATTATTAATTTAAGGTAATTTATATAAAGAGAATATGGATCACCTTATTTCTAGCCACAGATTATCTACTTAATGAAGACCATCAAGTATATTTAAAATTCAATTAAGCCCAGCAAATGCAACTGTGTATCATTGCAATAACTGACACCCCATCTGGTCTATAGAAATCAGGGTTAGAGCATGACCCAATATTATTGGACCTTTTAACTATAGATGTTAATGGCCAATTCCATAAATTTGTTGATTAAAAATACCAATGTTCATTTCAAAAGCAGTCACTTAACAATAGCAGTATAAGACTGCTGGGTCTTGACCATGCCATCTTTCCACCTGTGTAAGCTGATGCAATCACTGGGGCAAAGGAATGAACAAGGAGTGCCCTTTTTGTAATGGATCAGAAATGGACCTCCAATTTAGCCTCTTATTTTAGTAATGGGATCAGGGGCTCATGCTTAAAATCCAGATCCCTCAGTGACTAGTGGTACAATGATTAAAGAATTATTCTAAGAGTAGGATGGTGATTTTCTCCCTTTCTAAAGCCAATTGAGACATTAGTTCATTCAGTTTCTTGAAGAAATGAAAGGGAAGAATGAGGGGAGGGGGAAGAGAGAAAATCCTCTTGGATAAAAAGCCAATCATCAGGTGACATCTCTGGCACTAACATTTAGTAACTGATAATTGCTGTAACTAGGGCCATTGAGCTTTGCAAATATTATCCAGTAAATTTTAATTAGCACCCGGGGGATTGAAGAGTTGTGGAATAAGCTCTTGGGAGAAGCTTCCCCAGCCAGTGGCGATGTGTGCTGAGTAATTTTAGATCAGCTGGCCTGTCAGAGCAGATCAGTGTCATCACAGTACTTATCCAGAGGAAAATGCACCTGCTTCTACATGGAAATAAGGTGCATTATCTACCAATTTGCGTTGCTTATTTCTACTGTTCCTCAGTTTTGATGAGTGGGAAGTGCAATGGCTAAATTAGAGGGCTGTGGAGGAGAAAGGAAGGGGAGTTCTGCTGTTCTTCAAGGGCACATGCTGTCACAGGCTCTAAATGTCTCCTAGTTCTGTTTTTGGTTGAGTTGGAACTTCTCTTGTCACTGTATCAAAATGTGATATGAATGTTGGTATGATAACTGGTGATGTTACTTTATAATAAAATATATCTTATTATTTTTCTTTTTGTAGGGAGAATCACTTGTCATATCCTGAAGTGTCGGATGAACAGTTAGATATAGAAAGACATTAATCCATTACCAGGAACTTAATGAAACCTAAACAAAAATATTGGTTGAACAAGTTTAGCAACAAATATGTACAAACAGAGTGTACAACTCATTGATTTTTAAAAATTACCCAGCACATTAAATACCTCCTAATTGTAAAAGAGTCTATAAATTCAGAAATATTGATCTAATATTTATAAACAAACTATTAAGCAGGAACTATGATAAGCAAATTTTATATGCTACTTTTGTTGTCTCTACTTACAAAATGGAAAATGAGCTTAGAGCAATTAAGCTACTTTCTTTAAGTTCCTCAGAAATTAAGTAGTAGTGCCTACATCTCAAGAAATTTAACTAAAGAGTTGTGTTTTAAACATAGACATACACATGTAGATGTACACATTCATGTATAAACATAGACAAAGATGCATTTTTATACACATTGATATGAGCTTAGTGTGTATATATTCATTCCCTTTTCTACTGCATTGATAGGAAACTGCTTTAGGATCACATATTTTTAAAAATAATTGAATAACATGAAAAATATTAAGAGGAATTTCAAGATAATCTAGTATTAACTGTTGAGAAAATGCAAATAAAAATTAGAATAAGGTACATCTTCACATCTGACAGAATGTTATATCAGTCAAGGCTTTATATAATAGAAAAGGTAATAACGAGTGTTGGTGAAGTTGTGCAGAAATTAGAACCCTCATACATGGCTGGTGGAAATAAAAAAAATGGTACAGTCTTCTTGAAAAATACTCAGACAGCTGTTTAAAAGCTAAACAAAAAGTTCTCATGTAACCAGCAATTCCATTTATAGGGGAAAAAATGTCTAGGCCAAAATTTGCATATGAACGTTCATAGCAGAATTATTCATATTAGCAAAAAGATAGAAACAACTCACACATAACTCAAGGGATGAATGGATAAACAATGATTATAATAAAATATTATGCAGCTATAAAATAAATGAAGCATTGTTATATGCTCTGATATGGTTGAACCTTAAAAAATCACCAATTGAGAGTAGCCACAAAGACCATATACTGTATGATGGCAGTATATGAAATGACCCAAGCAGGCAACTCTGTGGAAACAATATTAGTAATTGCCTAGGCAAAGAAATGGGGAAATTGGGAGGTGATGCCTAAGGGGTTGTTGGGGAAAGGACAAAATACTCAAAATGCTCCTCTGTGAATATATTAAAATGCATTGAATTATGCATTTTAGGTTGTGGAAGTATGTGGATTATATCTCAAAAAGCACATCACAAGTGAATTTAGTTGGATGGCTTTGAAAGGAAGAATGGATTTTTTTTTTGTATCAGGGATTGAAGTCAGGGTCACTCAACCTCTAAGCCACATTTCCAGACCTATTTTGTATTTTATTTAGAGACAGGGTCTCACTGAATTTCTTAGTGCCATGCCTTTGCTGAGACTGGCTTTGAACTTGTGATTCTTCTTTGTCAGCCTCCTGAGCCACTGGGATTACAGGCATGAGCCACTGTACCTGGCTCCCAGTCTCCCATTTTCAATGTATGAGTAATCACATCTTAAATTCATACTTATGAAAATTAAAAATAATGTTTGTAAAATGTTTGGGGCACAATAAATCTCTAATAAATGTTATAGAAGCATTGGTTGTTATTAATGTTGAATTCCATTGTGGCCAGAGAAAGAAGACATAGAAAAGTAGAAAGTGAAAGAAAGGGAGAAGTGAGAAGTACAGAGAAAATAGAAAGTGAAGGAAAGTGAGGAATGAGAAGGTTACAAGTACCAAGACTAAGAAAAGGACAGCCACCTGGGGTGAGTGAGAAAAGGAGAGAGGGAAAAGTCCCATGGACTTGTGGAGAGGCTGGATATTTGAAGTGATGTGGGATAAGTACAAATCAGAAAGTCCGTGAAGAACATCTTCTGAAGGGGACCTGAGGAAAGCTTGTCACATGCTCCTGTGTACTTTGTGAGTATCCAGGTCTTGGTATTGACTAGAATGAATGGTTAGCTGAATCTGCCACCATTTTACACTTTTTTTTTGTGAGTCTGAAAAATCTGGGGTTTTCTCCTTCTGCCTCTATTGCTTGCATGCCTGAGGTTCTCCTTACACTTCCTTTTCATGCTCTTTTGGGAGCAGAGCGGCAGTGAGCAGGGTGCTGTCACTGAAACCCGTGGTATCTCTGAGCTGAAGAAAGGGCACTTCCCGGCTGGAGGGCATGGCCTCTAAAGGCGGGCTTCCAGGGGTAGGACTTCCGGGGGTGGGGCTTTCCAGGAGGCAGGGTTTCCGGGAAGCTGCAGCCATCAGCTAACCTGCCGCCATCTTGTCTGCTGTTTTGGAGCATCTGGAGCAGAGGTTCATCTTTGCCTGTTGAAAAAGGGGAAGGGAAAACGAGACTCAGCAGTTGAGTAGATGTATGTGATCTTGTGCAAAATATCTAACTTTATCTGAACCTGTGTCCTCAAGATCTATTGGGCTGTTTTGAAGGCTTGTGATTTTAAAAGGTGAAGGAAGTAAACTGCGTTCATCCTGATTCACAGGAATGTCTTGAATACTTGTTTTAACTTCATTTTCTTTTACCTACCTGCTAGTTTTGCTGCCACCTTACATATTTGGGAATTCATATTTCACCAAACAGAAATCCTGTGGTCTGTGATTCAAAGGAAGCAAGAATAAAGTGATTTATAAAAATGTATAATAGACCTGAAGTAAACTTTTCTCATTTTGAAAAAAAATCCTAATTTAGTGGCATAGATAATATTTTAAAATTTTGTTTAATTTAATTTGATAATTCTCTTTACCCTGACCCTTTTCTTTCTTAACAAGTTTCCCCTTCCTCCTTCTTAAAGAATTAGTTTAAAGGTTGGGTTATGTGCAAATATCTGCATGTGGCAGTTATTTGTGTGTGTATGTAAATAATATACTTTATTTTTTCTTCAGTACACAAAAACAGAAGTACAAAAATATCACATGGTATTTCCTGTCTTACTGGAATTATCAAGAATCTTACAAGTTCCCTTTGTCTAAATATTTGGCTGGTTCATTTACATTAGTCTTTTTGTTTTTAATCAAATCTGTACTTTTTTGAGCCTCTAAGCATCTTATATAGAATTTATCAAATCTGCTGTAGAAATCCATTTTACTTGAGGTTTTAATTTTCCTTGAGGTTTCCTAGATTTAAATGAAGTTATCTGTTAAGTCTCACTGGTGCATTAACCTTCTATTATTCATCACAAAGGCCAGAGAATTGACAAATTAGACCAAACTTCATCTAAACTTTTAATTTTAAAAGAATTTTTTAGTTGTTAATGGACCTTTATTTTCTTTTTTATTTATATGCAGTGCTCAACTCAGTGCTTCAACATGCTAGGCAAGCACTCTACCACTGAGCTACAACTGCAACCCCTCATCTAAACTTTTAAAGTGTAGTTGGAGAGATAAGAGAGGAATTTCATGAAATAGCTTTTACATTTCAGTTTTAACATTTGGGAAAGAAATATTTTAGAGATGCTAGGGCAAGAGGAAAGCTGGATGGCAAGATTGGAGTAGGTGTTTGAAAAGTGAAGACTGGTGCAGATAGCATATGGTGAGAGAAGGGATTTTTCCTTTGTAGTCATAATGAACATTTTATGGCATTATTTTTAAAAATTTTATTTGATAATTTTTTCTCTTTCCCCTTACCTCTTTTTCCCTTATTTCTTCTCCTCCTTCTTGGTGAATTTTAAATTGAAGACTGGAATATGTGGCATCTGTATGCTTCAGACAGTTATCAGATGTGTATCTTTTTCTATAATAACTACTGGCAATCAGTTTTTGGAGCCAGAATTACTTTAACAGTTGCATTTAATTTCTACTTTACTTGGGTTATATTAAACATAATAACGAATCTTTGAAGAGTACTAAAAAGTTTACCCAGAATTCTCACAGATTATCTTATTTGATCTTATCATTACCATGTCAGGTAATTTCTTATTAGTTATGCTGAGACATAGAATACATATTTTCCTGATTTCTCAGTGTTAAAATGAGGAATTCCCTTGTATCCTTTAAACATTTAAATTAACAAGAGAGAAGATTGTGAAATGTAGCAGAATGGGAAGGGATGTCACTTCTTTGTTGTCTTGAAATTTCAGCAAACATCTTTAAGATTGTATGATTTCCCATATACTAAAGAAAAGGGCTAAATATAACCCTATATAATTTGCAAGATATGGAAACCCAGTTCAGCCACTGTTATTCCAACATCCCACATAAAATAAGATTACATATTCAAAAGTACATTTGTTTTAGTTTCCTGTGAGGAAAACTGACGATTCTCACCTCTCTGCCTTAGGGAGAAAAAAGGCTGCTTTCTCCCTCTGCATGAAGCAGTTGGGATCCTACCACTAAAATATTGTACTGTCTGAGTAAGGAAACCAGCACTTACCTGTGTCGTGAAGAGTACTAACACTGTTGGACCCTCCAGAGATGTTCTTAGAGGGGAAGAGATAATAATTCTTGGCAGCATTTGAAATGTGTCCCTTGGGTTTGGGGAAGAGTGCAAAACCTAGTATCTGCCTTTCATTTGGAGAAGTCTGAAAGCTTGAGGCTGAATGAAGTGCCTGCAGCAAAAGAAGACAGAGCAAAGAAGATCAGGAATGATTCAAGCTACATTTCACAAAATTTTTCCTTCTAGTTTGGAGGGCTGGTATGTATTTTTTGCCCTAAGACACTGTGGGAAATAGCCAAGCTTGGAACATCTTGAAAGGATCTGGACCAAGAAGGATATGTGCATCTCCAAAAGTCAATTCCTATGCTTCACAGCAGGATTATCATTTGGACATTCACGGTCACAGACAGAAAATATTTGCTGTCTAAAACAAAAATAAAACAACAACAACAACAAACTATGAAAGCTCTGTACAAGATAGTAGAGGAGGTAGGAGGAAAAGGAGAGTGGCAAAATCAGGGATGATAATTCGAAGTATTTCACAACTGGTAGGGCATGCATTCTGAAAAACCAGATAGGATGCCTTAGAAGTCAGAGGTGTATTGGCAGAATATCAAATGGGTTTTCTTTCCCCTTCTGTAATAATATTCATTAAATCTAAGATCAGTCTTGAACCTGGGTAGTAGTGAAGAAGCTCTACACTACATTGGATATGGTGTGAAAAGCTTAGGTTTAGATTAGAATCAGTATTTTAGTGCAGAAAATGATGGTTTCCAAATCTATTGCACCTCTAGAAATAGAATCTAGAAGATAGAACAGAGCACTATAACAAGTGTTACAAAGTACAGTGAATGATTTACATTTAGCAAATTTATTTCTATAAAATAATAATGAACCTCAGAAAGAAGGTGTTTGACGTGGACTTGGTTAACATTTTATAATTGAGTTTTAGAACTAAGGACCATACAAATAAAGTTTCTTGTCCAAAGTTGTATTCTCAATTTAATAGGTGAACATTGCACTATGTACAAGGTGTCAAGAGCAAGGTCAAACTCACCTTTTACTAAAAGAATGACATGTTGAACTGCTTATGGTTACACAACACACATATGTGATTTTTCCTATAAACAACAAGAAAGGATAATTTGTTGTAGCCCCTAGGAGTAAACAAGATATTTTGGTAAGACTCTAAAGAAAGTAAAGATAAAAGGAGGAAAAGCTTTATCTTATATTGTTACAAGTTCACTTAGTTTTGGAGGAAATGCTGAGGGCTAGAAAACAGCCAGCAGAATCCAATTATTAAAGAAAGGAATCAGCCATACCAGAGAATTAGACACCAGTTTGAGTAACAGTGATCTCTTAGGAATGGCCAGAGAATATATTTCAAAGTATCCAGCAGTACTGGAGGAAAAATAATTTTAATTAGACTAGGCCAGTATAATGGAAAGAATGCCTCATGTGGAAAATACTAGTATTGAGGGGAGCACTGTTTTTTCTTCTTAAAATAATTTTTTTTCAAAATACTCCACTTTCTTCCAGTTTTTGTTCATTCTATTATGCTTTACCAAGATACATGGCATAATCTCTTTATTAAAAAAAATTCTTGCCTTGAGGGTGGTGGTTCTCTTGGAAAAGTTTAGAAAGAAAATTCAATGATAAAAAAGATAACTGAGATTATAGAGCTGCTTTCATGGAGCTCATGTTCTAATGGAAATATACAGTCAATTAAACTTTTACACACACACACACACACACACATGCACACACACACACACACACACATTGAAGTATTGTGGAAAACAGAGCAAGTGAAGGGAACTTGAGATTTCCAAATGAGTCTGAAGTGAGGGGATAAGTAAGGAGTAGCTATCATTAATAGCTATCATCATTATGGAAAGAAATGTGCCAGATTAGGCTTGATTTTGATCTGCAACAGATACCCGTGGCATATTCATTTGTTATAAGTCTTTTCTGATACATCAAAACAATTTCAGATTTTTTGCTTTTAAAAATATAAGTTCCTTTCCTCCTACTCTTCTTCCTACTTTTCTCTTAAAATGTCACTTCTACCTGCAACACTGGGAGAGGCTGATAAGGTAGCATCGGAGCAGGTTAGCGTAGGCAGTTCTTGTTTCTTGAGTCAGACATGTACAGGCAGCATATATGTCACTACCAGCGGATTACTGCTTGGTTTGTTTGCTTGTGGATCCCCACAAATTCGTTGATGTTTTATCAGTAAAATTGTCAGTATTTTTAACAGCTGGAGGATATGATAGGCACAGATACAGTGTTAGTCTGTGGTTTTCGGTTCCAGCTGCTTATGAGAATTCACCCAGGGAGCTTTAAAAAATGCAAATGTCTGGGCCCAGGTCCAGAGATGTTCATTTAATTGGCCTCTGTAGGGACTGGACATTAGTATTTTTAAACACAGCCCAGAGATACTGAGATTCAGCCAGGGATGGGGGCGGTTGGGGTGTGAGACAAGGTGTGCAGTGCTGCCTGTGGGTACTTTCAAAGGAAAACGCCATGTGATTTAATCCTTACAATACTATGACAAAGGCATCTGGGTCCTCATTTCACAGAGACTGTATATCTGAGTGATGGCATAGATTTTTTTTTTTCCCAGAGCTACATCACTAAGGTGTAGAAGGGTGTATTTCATTTTTGACATCACATTTGAAAATTGTGGGTTGGGAAAGCTAATTCAGTTGCACTCAAATAAAATAGTTTACTTGTGAAACGTTTTTCCACCATCTGTGCCTCTGAAAATAGAATGGCATGTTCCATTATGGAACTGTAGAAAGTTTGACCCCAAATGAACAACTGATAAAAAGTGAAATTAAATCACATATCCAGTTTTAAAAAGGGGAATCCCAAAATAGGTATCTTAAAATTATTTCTATTGTTTGCTTTTATTTTTATACATTTCAAGGAGAGATTCAACCAACCTTTATTTTTAAATTTTGAAACAGTATTTTTTCCTCT